TAAACGATCACCAGTCTCCCCCCCCCCCCCCCCCCCCCCCCCACCCCTCCGTTATTTTTCCCCCCCCCCAGCCTCTCGAATCTCTTGTGTTAATGTTCTTGCTGTAGATTTGAGCGTGTTGCTTGTGTTGGATACCCTGTGACTTGTCTTTTCTTTTAGACATCTTCCTGGGGGCATCCACTCTTCTGCTCTATGTGCGGTTTTACATTTTAAACTTTATAATATGCAGGTTATGTCAGGCTTGTTCTTTGGATCTTGTGTGGCTCATGTTGGCCTCACAGTCACCTTGCCGCTCACGCTAGCCTTGACCTGATTCTCCCGTCCCCATCTCTGCTGTTATGGGCTTGTGCCGTCACACTTAGCTCGGTTGGACTATGTTTTATAATATTTTCAGGTTCACAGCAGAGATTTCCCACTTGCCCTGGTTCCGTGAGGACCCGGCCCCTTCAGCATCAGCATCCACCATGAGTCTGGTACGCACGTGACAGTCAGTGGGCCTACACTTCTGGGTCATTATCAGCCGGAGTGAGTGGTTTGTAGGAGGCTTTTTCTTGCTGTTGCGTGTTCTTTAGGGTTTGGGCTAATGGTGACGGCAATGCAGAGGGTTCCATTGTCCCGAGCAATGTGTCTCACAGCTCATTCTTCTTCTCCTCCCTGCAACCACTGATTTTTTTTTAAAAAATTAAAAAATTTTATTTTATGTGTATGAGTGTATTACCTACATGCATGTAAGTGCACTCATGTTGTGCAATGTCCACACAGATCAGAAAAGTGCGTCGGATCCCTGAGAACCGGAGTTACTGATGGTTGTTAACCACCATGTGGGTGCTCGGAACCGAACCTGGGTCCTCTGCAAGAGCAGTCAGTGCTCTAAACCACTGAGCCGTCTCTCCAGCCCCAACTCCTGAGCGTTTTACTGTCTGCGTTGCTCCCCTTTTGTATCACCGTTTGGCCTCCTACAGCACACTACCTGTTCAGATCAGCATTTGACTCAGCAGTCCATGGCTCTGTCTCGACACACCGTGGTTTATTATTTATCTGTTTACAAACTGAAGGCTGTAAGCTTTGACCAAGGCCCACCAAAGGGTGGCGCTATTTCCAGTCTCCCTGGTCCCGTCTTTGTCCCCGGCACATCACACATAGTCAGCATGATCTTCTAAGACCTACACATCCTCCTGGTACTCATGGGGCAAGCCAAAGTTTCCCAAAACCATACAGAACACTCCAGGTGGAGGCCCGGGCAGAAAGGATCTGCTAGTTCCCCAGGAGATGAGCTGATTCCAACCCAGGAAAGAATCCTCAAAAGACAGGGGGTCCCACACACCTTCCCAGGCAATGTGCCTCCAGGCAGAAATCTGCTCGAGCCCTTTCGCAGCCCCTTGGGGGATAATTACTCACTAGTTAATTGAGGCAGTGAGTCAGTTGGCAAGCTTGGGAGTCACAACCCGGGCTTCATGCACCCTTCCTTCAGCGATTCAGCAACTCAGGACAGAGGTAAATGAGAAAGTTCAGTGGTTAGGACGTTGTAAGTGATGCACACCCTGGCCATGAGCGGCCCGTGCAGCCCAGCCTCCCCAAGGCCCCTTCCTGCTCCTCAAGGTTTCTCTGAAGACCAGCACCCTCTGGCTACATCAGGCTTCATCACTGGGCCCTCAGTGCAACCCAGGGACTTAACAGCCACCACATGAGGTGGCCTCCGATCACACCACTGGCCATCTGTTCAGCACTTCTTATACCCATCTCCTGTGTCCTGTCTTGATGGGCGGGAGAGCCTGCAGCAGTCCCTGAAACCTAGACAGTGTCTTTTCCAGTTCTCTTGGTCAGAGCCAGGCCTGCTGGGATCTAGCAGGGAGGACAGGTACCACTCTGCAGGGACTGTGGCCTCTAGGCTTTCTGGGTGGGGAATGAACTCAGCGGTCTGCCTGGAAGGAGTTTCTGACTGCTGTCTTTATTTCTGCTTTGGTCTTTGGTGGTCTCAGAATATACGGGGACTAAGCGATGCTTCATATCTTAGAGCCTACGGTCTTCCATTCTGCCTGGAGGACAGAACAGCAGTTCGGGAGTTGCCCCTGAATAAGCTCTCCTTTTCATTTTAATGCATCTCACTGAATAGTTTTATAAACAAACCGAACTGTTTGCAATACATACAAATACTTCTCTGTGCACGTGTTTGTGTGTGTGCGCACGTGTACACACCTGTGTGTCGAGGCCAGAGTTTAATCATTTTCCTCCTTCGTTTTTGAGACAGCATCTCTCACTGAACCTGGAGCACCCTGATTCTGGTGGGTCGACAAGCTCCAGGGATCCACCTGTCTCTGCCTCCCTAGTGCTGGGGTTACAGGCGCCCACCACCACACCAGGCCTCTTTTTGTTTGCTTTTGGGGTTTTTCCCTGGGTGTTGGGAGAAAGAACTGAGGTTCTTCTGCTTGCATTTTACCAACTGAACCATCCCCCCAGCCCACATACACATTTCTCATTTCCCTTCCAGGCCTGAACATTATAATAAATGGTATCTTCTGTGCCAAGCTAGGGCTGGAAACTTAGCTGTGGGAGCCACTGGCCCACACCAGCCAGACTGGGAAAATCACATACTTCTAGAAGCCTTGTGCCTGCTAGGGTGGGTCCTGCATGGCCAGGGGCCCAAGGGTTTCCCCCAGATTCGCTGCAGTTTGAACCTGTAGCCCTGGCCATGGCTCCTAAGCACTGTGTCTTTGACTTAATGAAAGAATCAATTAATTATTGCAAAATTTTGCCCCCAAGGAGCTTCTATACAGAAGGTGTGGAGCAGACCTCCACCTGGTGGCTCACTATTGGGAAGGCTTGCAGGCCCTCTCTTCCCTGATTTGAAATCAACTTCCCTCCTGTCCTCCCCTTCTCTTGCCTTTTCAGTGATCAGCAGGAGCCTTCTGCCTAGGCCCTGTCTCAGTGAATGTCTTGCTGCCCTATGGGATGCTGACAGTTATGTGGGTATTGACGGATGGCACTGGGGCACAGTGCGGTAGTGGCAGAGAGACCGTTGCAGGAGAGTGTGCCATGGTCCCTGTACTCGGGAGCCTCCTGCAGGACGTGGGCGGTGGTGGCTGACAGGCCCTTACCTGGACTGTAAGGGATGGTTTCACAGTACAGAGCAGCAGGATGCACTTAGGAGGACTTGTGCACATCCTCGTTCTGCGGGGGGACCCGGCTGGGCTGACTGCCTAACACAAGTGTGGAGGAAAAGCCACACCGTACACTGGCCTGGTGTTCTGGAGGCTGTGAAAGGTTTTAAAGGCCTTGCTTTCTCTTTGGTGGCTGAGAGAAATAGGGGCTATGCCCAGGCCTCCCCAGGACCTGTTCCCATGGTGATAAACTCGAGAGCTTCTGCTTCAGCTGACTGTGACCAGGCCAGGCACCTGAGGCTGACTCTTGCCTTCACTTGGGTTATAGCTGAGCTGTCATTTGCAGAACATGACTATTAGATCTCAAGACCCAGGGTTTAACCTGTGATACTTGAGTCCATGTAATAATATATCTTGCAATAGAAAATGTAACCAATTCATGGATTTCTTTAAAAGGCAGAATGGCGGGGGTGGTGTTGCCACACTGCAGACTCAAGAGGCCAGAGCTTAGGTTCCCATATTAGCTCCACCTGCTAGCTATGTGACCTTGGGCAGATCTAGCCTCTCTTTCATTTTCTGAGCAGTGGGACAATTCCACGCACTTAGTAAGCGGTCAAAGGTCAGCTCAGAGGGCGGGGGAGATGACTCAGTGCATAAAGTGCTTGCTATAAAAGTGTGAGAACCCGGGTTTAATCCTGTTTACTTTCTGTTGTGTTAAAACACTGACCAAAACCAATTTGGGGAGGAAAAAGTTTCTATCAGCTTGTAACTCCCAGGTCACAATCTATCACTGAGGGAAGCCAGGGCAGGAACTCAAGTCAGGAGCCCGGAGGCTCGGGCTGAAGCAGAGCTCATGGAGGAATGCTGCTTGCTGACTCGCCCCACTGGCCAGCTTTCTGATACAGTCCAGGCCCACCTGCCCAGGGATGGCACTGCCCACAGTGGCCTGGATCCTCATACATCAATTGGCAATAAAGAAAATACCCCACAGACATGCCCACAGATCAGTCTGATAGAGGAAATTCCTCAACTGAGGTTTACTCTTGTAATCCTAACACTGGGGAGGCAGAGCCTGGGGGGCTCCTTGGGACTTGCTGGCCAGCCTAGCCAATTGGTGAGCTCCAGGTTCTGGGAGAGACTCTGAGCTGACCTTTGACCTCTTGGTCATGGGCACGCACAGAAGTTTTATGTATGTGCGAGCTCACGCGCACACACACCCACATCCACACGTACACACAGCACATGAAAAGTGGGTATCCCAGGGTCAAGCGCATGTCACATTTTACTAAGTGCTAAATATTGTTAATAATCTTAGTAACCCCAGTGTTTTCTCACCAAATCATACACCTAACCAGGGTGGTTTTTTTTTGTTTTTTGTTTTTTGTTTTTCTCAGAAACAGAGAACAAGTCTAAACCCATGCAGAGGCTCCATGCAGAGCTATGAACAGGGTAGCTGCCCTTCGAAGGCTCCAAGGATCGGGCAAAGCGTTCCGTGGTTGTTTATACCTTGTTATCTTCACTTTATAGATAGGCAGCAAAGGCCCAGAGAGGCTTGATAACTCCCCCAAGGTCGCCAGCAAGGATTTCAGCTGATTTGAGTCAATGAAACCTTGTTGGTCATTCTGACAACTTAATTAAGGTACAAAGAGTCTGATCAAGAAAATGCTTTCCAGTCCAAATGAAAGTATCACTGCACATGAATCGTAATGGGATACGTTCATCCACTCGCCCATCCGTTCACAGGCATCTGGGGTGTGGCTTCCTACAAGGCATGTTTGGTCCTATCCTGTGTGTTTAAGCTTGGGGTGTATATTACATGCCCCCCCCATGCCTCATCCTTTCCCGGAACTGGCATGGCAGAGATGTGAGAACAGAGAGCCCTCACACGACCTCCTCTGCCAGTTCCCCCTCCAGCTCTGATGCCAACCTGCGGTTCCCAGGCAGCAATGGCCTCCTGCAGACACCCCGCTGGGATGAGCCGCAGAGGGGGTGTGCCCTGGAGCAGATCTGCGGAGTGTTCCGGGTGGACTTGGGTCACATGCGCTCCCTGCGTCTCTTCTTCAGGTGAGACTCTGTCCTCCGCTTCCCGGGAGCCAGCTACACATGTGCATGTGTGTGAGCATGTGTGCCTGAATGCATGCCTGTGTGCACCAGTGTGCATGTGTGTACCTATATGTATGCCTGTGGCACAGTGTACATGTATGTATGCATGTACATATATGCACATGGGTGCACATATGTGGGTGCGTTTCTGGTCCTGTGTGCATCAGCGGGTCCCCTCCCTGAGTCATCTTCATCAGTGGTTGCCCACTGTGCTTGCCCAGCCATCCGCCACCCAACACCCCTGCTCTGCCCTCAAGGCGAAGGCAGCCAGCTGTAGCTGAGGACTCTGGCTCAGGAAAGCCAGCCAACCAGGGTGGGCACTGCTGAGTGGGTGGGGCTCAGAGTGTGTGCTGCAGATGCTCCACTCCAGGGACGCCTGCCCACAGGTCCTTTGCATCGTTGGCATTGCCCTGACCTTCTGGAGAGAGGTGGTCTTTCCTTTATAAGGAACCCCAGCCCCTACCTCCTGCCTGTGGTTTCCCACATCATCCCAAGACACCAACCAAAAGCCTGTGTGCAGAACAGCCGGTGGCCACGTCCCTGGAGGAGTCCCAGACCCCTCTTTCCTGAGTGCACCATGGCAGTTGGGGTGACAGTCTTGATGGGGTATAGGCAGCCTTCCTAGAGAAACCCTGTTCCATCCTCCCTGAATCCAGCTATGTATGTGATGAGATTGAGTGACACCTCCCCCCCACCCCTCGCCGCAGGGTCCAGATCTGCATCCAGTGAGCCCCCTCCCCCAGGTTTTCTGGGCAGCTCAGAAGAGGGGTGCCAGGACTCCCCAGGATCCAACTGCTTTGCTTCCCAGGCAGAAGGGGCACTGGGTTTTGTTGACTCTGCCCCTCACACCCATATCTACACTCCCCTGGGACTTGCTGGTTTCCTGCCTGAGGTGCTGACAGTGAGCTCTGATTAAACTTGGAAATAAAAACCTGCGTTATCATATTCACCCCCTCCTCCCACCGTGGCCCTTCAGTGACGAGGCCTGCACGAGTGGTCAGCTGGTGGTGGCCAGCCGAGAGAGCCAGTACAAGATTCTCCACTTCCACCACGGCGGCCTGGACAAGCTCTCCGAGGTGTTCCAGCAGTGGAAGTTCTGCACTGAGACGCACCTCAGGGACCAGGTAGCCCAGCAGAGCTTGGGGGCAGCCTGGGGTTGGGGGAGGAGCCAGCTGCCCACCCGGTGGGCCCAGGACCTCCCCAGCGAATCTTCTTCCCAAGTCTGGGTCTAGGAATTCCCGCACTCATGGACTCTCAGGGTGTGGCTCTGGGCGGTCTGTGGTCCCCAATGGCCGACTGACAGCATCGTGCTTGGGGTTTGAAATGTGTGCCCAGGCCTTTCTGAAAGTCTGTGCTCCACACTTGAAGACTGGTGTTTTGACAAGGCTCCCTGCCATGGTTTGTGCAATCTGCATACGGAGGTAATAAGAGTTCTTTAATCGCCTGTTTAAGGTACCGTGTGTGCTTATTAGCGCTGGGGCCAACTTTCAAACTCCACCCCACCCGAAGATCCTCCTGCTGCCTCCCCTTATTATGATACTGTGGCATGTCATACCCCGCCCCCCCGCCGGCATCCAGCACCCTTTGATTTTTGAATTAAATGTCAGCTGTGGTTTCGCCCTGGACTCGTGACTGTTCACGGAGACATTCTGACAGGCTGGCTCCCTGCTTGCTGAACAGCGGGCCTTTGTATGTGGCCGATCACATGGAATCTATTGCAGCCCCCTGCCCCCTGGCAAAGGGAAGTTGGGGAAAAGGGTATTAATTCTTGCAAATTCTTTGTGGCTGGGGCAGGAGACCGAGTGGGGGGAGTGGGCTGAGAGCTGCAAAGAGCGATTTTAGGGTGAAGGTATTTTCATTTTAATTGTGTCTAATTATACTTGCCATTTATGGGTTTGTACGCCTCCCAGAGGGAAGAAGGGGCTTTGACATCCTGGGAACAGCATCTCGGGATCCTGATCCCCCCGCCCCAGGTTCCTCTTCTCCTGTCCAGCAGGTTACCGATGAGAGGACATGCATGCAGTTCTCCATCCGAAGGCCCAAGCTGCCATCGTCTGAGACTCACCCCGAGGAGAGTCTGTACCGGAGGCTGGACGTGTCTGCCTGGCTTAGCCACCTGAATGAGCTAGGCCAGGTAGAAGAAGAATACAAGATGCGCCAGGTACTGCTGGGCCCCTGGCTCCCGCCTAGGAACCCTTGCCATCACCCGCAGGGACAGAGGGTGGGTGGCCAGCCACCCCCGGGGAGGGCTGGTCCCTGGTGTCAGGTTCCGACCGATGAAGCAGTCAAGGGTCTGCGCTGGGAAGAAAATCCAGCGGGTTTGGGGGATCCCGTGTGGGCCCTGCAGACTCTGCAGTATTGAAACACTGCGTTTCCAACCCCAGGGATTAGTCCATGACGTGAGAACAACACGTTAATCTCGGAGTGCCGCCCTGGGGGGGCTTTGACATTGAAATGAGCCGGTTTGTGTCCTGTATGGGAATGCGTCACCAGCACTTTCCCCTTGTAAACATGTGCAAATTGCCGGGGTCTGAATCGAGGCGAGGCGCGCCAAAGGCCCCACAACACCCATCTCTGGGGATTTGGGGTTCTTTGAGCTGCCCTGTGTTATACCCTCCCCCCCCAACTTGTGTTGCTTCCTCCAGGCCATTTTCTTTGGCGGCATTGATGTGTCGATCCGGGGGGAGGTCTGGCCTTTCCTGCTGCGCTATTACAGCCACGAGTCCACATCCGAGGAGCGTGAGGCGCTGCGGGCACAGAAGCGAAAGGAATACTCTGAGATTCAGCAAAAAAGGTGCCCTCCGCCCTGGGAGCCCTGTTGAACCACAGAGGGACATGTCCTTTGAGGGGCGATTAGAGGTGTCATTCAGCACTGACTACTGTTCCACAAGCCTTGGTTTCTTTGTAACGTGGGTCTCCCAGGAGCCAGGGCCACGGGCAGTCACTATAGGACACACACCAGGGCCCTTAGTTCACATGCTGAGGATTTTAGAATTCATGTTCAACAGACTTAACTAAGGGTTGATGGGGCCTCAGGTGCAGAGCCTAAAGTAAGCCCCCACCTGGGTTTCACTACCTGAGGGCAGCAGTCTGCTTCCCTTTGAGGGGCTGGACCTGGGTTAACATAAGGAAAGCCTTGACTACATCCCCTGACCCAAGCTGGAGAGCTGGCTATCCCCAGCAGCAGGAGTTGGATCTGTGGAAGGCAACTCCAGATCCCATAGTCTCCTGTACTGCCTCCTCCCTATGAGCTCCACAGCAGCCCCTGCACCACTGACTTCTGGGTGGTGCCCTGTCTGCCCTGCAGGCTCTCCATGACCCCCGAGGAACGCACAGCCTTCTGGCGCAATGTGCAGTTCACCGTGGACAAAGATGTGGTTCGGACAGATAGGAGCAACCAGTTCTTCAGAGGGGAGGATAACCCCAACGTGGAGAGCATGAGGTATCCCTCAGCCCTGGCCTCCCGGGTGCGAGTCTGGGGCCCCGCTTGAGCCTTTGGGCCTGTGGCTGTTGCCCAGCACTCCTTCCATGTTGGAAACATCCAGGCCCCAAGCAGAGCCTCTCCATCCCTGTCTTTCCTTGGCCCCTGCTCACCAAAGACGAGCCCCTCTGTGTGTCCTCCCATTTCCTAATGGGTGATCCTCTGGTGATAAAGCCACACAGAACCAGAGGCTGCCATCTTTGACATTCTGCTGCGACCTGCAAAATAACTGCACAAAATTAACAGCCCATAAAAACATCCCACCAGTCTACCTTTTGTCACAGGCAGTCGGCCGTTAAGAAAATCAGACATAGCTGGGCGTGATGGCGCACGCCTTTAATCCCAGCACTCAGGAAGCAGAGGGAGGCAGATCGCTGAGTTCAAGGCCAGCCTGGTCTCCATAGAGAGTCCCAGGACAGCTGGGGCTACAGGGAGACCCTGTCTCAAAAAGACCAAAATAAATAAATGAATGAATAAATAAAATAAAATAAAATCAGACACTGAGGCCAAGGAGATGCCTCAGTGGTTGGGAGTACTGGCTGCTCTTGCAGAGGGCTTGGTGTTTGGTTCCCAGCACCCACATGGACCATCTATAACTCTAGTTCCAGGGGATCTCACATCCTCTTCTGGCCTCTGTGGTCTTCACACATGGGTGCACTTACATGCATGCAGGCAAAACACGCATATACATAAAATAAAAACAAATTTTAAAAAAGTAGAAGAAAAAGAAAGGCCCGTATTCCTGCTGAGGCCCTGCTGTGCTCTGGTCCTGGTGAATGGTTCTCTGTGGCCTATTACCTCCTGAAAAGAGAGACCCACTGCGGTTCATCAAAGCCTGGACTGTTGACAGTCACAGGGCTGAGACACCTGTCACTGATGCCACTGCCACCAAGACCAAGATGAAGGAGGGACCCCGGTATCTGGGCAACAGGCCCTGATGGGGACGGCAAGAGCAGGATCCATCATGGTCCCCTTTGCTCCCCACCACCTGGTCAGGAGGATCCTGCTGAACTATGCCGTGTACAACCCGGCCATCGGCTACTCTCAAGGGATGTCTGACCTGGTGGCGCCCATCCTGGCCGAGGTCCTGGATGAATCGGACACCTTCTGGTGCTTTGTGGGTTTGATGCAGAATACAATCTTCGTCAGCTCTCCTCGGGATGAGGACATGGAGAGACAGCTGGTGAGCCGTGTGTGTGCGTGTGTGCATATATGTGTGCGTGCACCTGTGTACATGTGTGTGATGAGTATGTGTGTGAGCCCGTGTACATGTATGTGTGTGATGCTTCTGTATGTGTGCATATGGGCCTGTATGTCTCCCTGTGTAATGGAGGGCAGAGAGAGAGAGAGAGAGAGAGAGAGAGAGAGTCTCCTGTTGCTGTCAGGATTTTTTCTTTTAATAATTAAACTTTTTTTTCAATGTGTATGAGTGTTTTGCCTTCATGTAAGTGTGCCACATGCATGCAGTGCCCTCAGAGGCCAGAAGAGTGTCAGATTCTCCTGGAACTTGAGTCACAGATGGTTGTTAGCTGCCACGTGGGTGCTGAGAACTGAACCCAGGTCTTCTGCAAGAGCAGCTGGACCACCTTTCCAGCCCACTGCCAGGGGTCTTAATGGTGAAATGCAGCCGTGATATCAGGGGTCAGTGGACCACAGAAAACCAGGAACCCTGCTGACAGGACATGGACCTCCTGGGAAGATCTGGATAGCTACCTGAAGGAGTAGTATTGTCTGGGTCTGGGCTAGCCTCCCACCCCATTCTCCCTGCAGCTCCAGAGCTGTGCAGAGTGCTCCTTTGGTGGCCTTCTCCCACCCAGAACCAGCCTCCCTAGCAGAACAAGGGAGGGGAGGCCCATTCCACCTGGCTCGGATGTATCTGAACTGCAGAGCCCAACACAGTCAGTGCCCCGTGTGCCGTGGGAACAGAAGGGCTCCCAGTGTCACTCAGAGGTCCAACAGGCAGTCCTCATGTCCCCACCTCAGGAGACAGCTGACCTTTCTGAGAGGTTCAGCTGACTGATCTCAAGGCCTCAGAAGCAGGATCAACCTTACACAGACCAGGCGGCACTGAGGAGCCAGCTGGGAGCTCACCGCAAGACACCTGTGTGTGCCAAGCCCCTCTCTGGTGCCAGGCCTTGCATATGGCCTGCCCTCAGGCCTGCAGATGACCTGGCCTACAAGCTGACAGTGTGAGCAGAGGGTGTGAGGGCAGCAGCTGGCAGTGTGAGGTGGGGGCACGCTGACAGCAGTGCAAGGTGGGTATCCATCCAGGGAGCTGTAAGCCACGCCATGGCCTTAACCTGCCATGGGCCACAAAGTGCAGAGTCTGGCAAGTTGGGAAGTACCCCTAGATTCATCCTCCAGGGCCACACAGCCCCAGGCTCCATCTCCAACTGGAGCAAGGGTGATGGGGAGCCTCTGACCCTGTTCTGCAGCAGGCTGACCCCTAGGTAGGCACTCTGCCCTTGCTTCATCCTGCATTCGTATGATGTCAGGTTTTCACAGTACCTGGGGAGGCAATTACAGGGTCTGACGCCATTGCCTTGACGGCTGGCGGCACGTAGCTGGTGACTCATGAGCTGCTGGAGATTGATTTTCTAGTGGAGGCACTGAGGTCAGCAGCCCCCAAACAGTGGTGCCAGAAATAGCCTCCGTCAAGTCTCCACAGCCCAGTGACCCTGTGTCTCCAGGCTCAGACATGTCCCCTCCCTGCTCTGAATCAGCTCTGGGAGTTGATGGATCATGGAGACGGTGGACAGGGCTTCAACTGGGGTCCCATAGACAGTCCTACTCATCTTCCCAGGGTGAGTAGATGTTAGAAACAGCCCCCAGGGATTAGCTGAGGCCGGGGGTGACGTCCCACTGAGTCAGCCTCTTTGACCACCTAAAAGATCATTCTCTACCCAGGGCTGCACTCTTTCTGTAACAGTCTTTAAATCTGGATTGAACTGGTAGACAGATGTGAGCAGGGTTCCAGTAGTGGGGGGCTGGGCAGACGGTTCAGTAAGGGAAATACCTGTTACATGAGCATGAAGACCTGCTTTCGGATCCCTAGCACCCAGGTAAAATGCTAGGTGTGGCGGTGTGCTGGGGAGCACAGACAGGTGGAGTGGATCCCCGGAGCTTGCTGGCCAGTCATTCTAGCTACTTGGCAGGCTCTCGGTTCAGTGAGATGATCCCGCCTCAAAAAAATAAGGTGGACAGATAGAAGACGCTCGATGTCAACCTCTGGCCTCCACACTCGCCCTCATTCACGTGCGTAAACCCTTGTATGCATAGGTGTGTACAACTCCCCCCTACACACACACACACACACACACACACACACACACACTCATAATTTCAGTGGTAGGCTGACATCGTGGGTAACTGATGTGTGTGGCAGAGGCTTCCGGTGTGTGCTTTTCAAGGTTGGGGATTTCCCAAGGAGTGTTCTTTCTGGCCCGGGAAGGCAGTCTTGCCCAGGGCCTGGCTCACCTTCCCCTCCTCCCCCCGACTAGCTGTACCTGAGGGAGCTGCTCCGTCTAACGCACCCGCGTTTCTACCAGCACCTGGTCTCGCTGGGTGAGGACGGCCTCCAGATGCTCTTCTGCCACCGTTGGCTACTGCTGTGCTTCAAGCGAGAGTTCCCTGAGGCCGAGGCTCTGCGGATCTGGGAGGCCTGCTGGGCCCACTACCAGGTGAGTGGGGCACGTGCTGCCCCTAAGTACGATTACCATCTTGTGCCTGGCCTTTGGGGAAGGTAGGATGCATTACCCCCAAGCCTCCTCTAGTAGGGGGTGTCCTCCTCCTTACCCACCTACTGACCTGCCACACCACAGCTTCCCAGAGCCGCTGCTCTCCAGTTCCACGTGTCTGGCTTCAGATCTCACCGCCCATGGAACTGAAATACATGTCAGTTGGCTCATCACCACATTCCGGGCAGAGCTCCTTCTGTCGTAGCCAGTCAGTAGAGGAGCCATCCTTTCCTATAGTCCCAAAGAGAGCCTGGATCAGTGACATGGACATCTACTTGTGGTCTACCACAGTCAGCATCTTCTGTACCAACTCCCTTTCGAGCATAGGACTGACTGTCACATAGCTTTAACACCTACGCTAAACACAAGTGATCAGTGTAAGAGGGTAGGCAAGTTGCTTTGAATCTGTCAGCCTAAAAAAAGACCATCAAATTATGCAGAGATAGCTCAGCGGGTAAAGTGCTTGCCTTACAAGCATAAGTTTGAGTCCCTGAAACTGTATAACAATAAAGCCAGGCACAGCGGCACATGCTTGTAATCCCAGTGCAGGGGAAACAGACACAGGTCAGCCAGTCTGGCCTAGCTGGTGAGCTCCAGGACCCAGGGAGAGACCCTGTCTCAAAGCAAAGTGGATGGCTGACTCCTGAGATGGTACCTGAGGTTATCCTCTGGCTTCCGCATGCACATGCACATTCCCACGTGCACACACACCATGTGCATACACACAAAACAGTACCATGTGTTCAGGAGGGCAGGACCCTCCCCATCAGAGCCCAGCTTCATCCTACACCGGGGCAGCACACACTGGATGTCTCTGCCTGCCACACGTCTGCCACCTGCCACGTTGGTCCAACATTGGTGCCTCGCTGAAACCTGTCTGCCGGTTCGTCTTAGACTTCAGACTATTCCGAAGTGTGGCCCTGGGCTTGGTATGATATCTTGGGTGGCTGAGGAGGCTGAGTCAGGAGGAGTCACCCCAGCCGCCCCCTGAGGCTGTTGGTAGCACTCGCCTGTCGGCACCCTGTCAGCTGCCATCTTGTTTGAAACTTACAAAGCAAGTTCATGTTGCTTTCACTTTGGGCTCAGTGTTCACGTCTAGAATGATCACCTGATCAGCTGATGGTGGGCGGATGGGGGTGAGCAGTGATCCAGGAGTAAACTCTGAAGAGGAGTCACTGCTAGGTGAGGCCTTAGCTTCTGAGAAAAGCTTCGTGCCCCCTCTGCTGTGCCCCCTGCACTGCCCCCAAACTGAGATTCGTCCTGTGTTGTGCGCCAACCCCCATAGAATGTGGCCCACCCCACCCCACACGTTTCTTCAGGAACATTCCTTCCTGAAGTGCTCACCCCAGCTGGAGAAAGAGGCCAGGTTGGGAGACACCATCCAGTCCGGTTAGGTGGGTGACATCAGACTTCCTAGGGACTTCCTGGAACTCCCATCCTTCCTCCACCCTAGGGAGCCAGTGTGTACCAGAGGCCGAGGACCTTCAGGCGACCAAGCAGGAGGGTGCATGCAGCCAGCCTGCGTGCACAGGCTCCACAAAGTGGCCCTAAAGAAGGGCTGGGAGGGGCTCCGTGGGCATCTGGAAAGAGGGTTAGGAGCTGGAAGGTGGGGGCAGCAGGCCTTGGGGCCTCCGGGGAGTCACTTGGTGGGGATCTTCCCATGCCCTCAGGCCGTAGTGTGGGGGCACTCGCTAGGAATGCTTAGCCATACAGGACAAGCCACCAGGAGGTTGGCTCCCGGAAGTTCTTCCTTTCTGACAGGGAATGTTCTGGCCAGCCCTCTGTATACACATGACACCCTCAAGACCTCTGAGGTTAAGACCCCTCAGTGAGCGCAGTCTAGCTTGGGAAAAAGACGATCTTTGTTCTCAGACACCACCCAGCAAAGCACCAACAGCCAGGGTGCAACACAAACGTCTTCCACTCATGATGTCACAGCGGCCCATGGTGTAGCTGTCCACACAGCTAGGGAGACAGAATGAGCTGGAAGTGCAGGTGGCCCAGGACACAGGACTAGGACCCCAGCAGCCTCTGCTGGAGTTGCTCGTCAGGGCCGCTCTGAGCTCTCTGTCTCCCCACAGACTGACTACTTTCACCTGTTCATCTGCGTGGCCATCGTGGCCATCTATGGGGATGACGTCATGGAGCAACAGCTGGCCACAGACCAGATGCTCCTGCACTTTGGAAACCTGGCCATGCATATGAATGGAGAACTGGTACTCAGGAAGGTGGGCCCTGTCTTAGCTAGCCTTGAGGCCTTTCCCTGCGTGGAGCCTTACCCCACACCTCACAGGCCCACCCCTGCACGTGGGCCCCTCACCTCACAACTCCACCCCTGCACCTGGAATCCTGCCCCACACTGCATAGCTCCATCCCTACAGGCACAACCCTCCTCTTACCACACAGTCCCACCCCTGTACACGGAACCCTGCCCCATATCACATAGCCCGACCCCTGCGCATGGAACTCTGCCCATACCACACAGAACCCTGTCCCATGCTGCACAGCCCCACCCCTGCACATGGACCCTGCCCATACCACACAGAACCCAGCCCCACCCCTGCACAGGGAACCCTGCCTCTCACCTCACAGCCCCACCCCTGCACAGGGAACCCTGCCCCGCGCTGCACAGCCCCACCCCTCCACAGGGAACCCTGCCCAATCACACACAGCCCCACCCCTGCACATGGAACCCTGCCCCACACCGCACAGCCCCACCCCTGCACAGGGAACCCTGCCCAATCACACACAGCCCCACCCCTGCACATGGAACTCTGCCCATACCACACAGAACCCTGTCCCATGCTGCACAGCCCCACCCCTGCACATGGACCCTGCCCATACCACACAGAACCCAGCCCCACCCCTGCACAGGGAACCCTGCCTCTCACCTCACAGCCCCACCCCTGCACAGGGAACCCTGCCCATACCACACAGAACCCTGCCCCACACCGCACAGCCCCAACCCTGCCCAATCACACACAGCCCCACCCCTGCACATGGAATCCTGCCCCACACCACATAGCCCCACCCCTGCACATGGGTCCTGGTCCACAATCAGACCTCCATCTTGTCCCTCCCCCTCTACTGGGTTTGCTCTGCCAAGTCCCTGGGGATCAGCATCTGCTGTGTAGCCTAGTTGTGCAGTTTGCCCCCACTTGGTTGTCATGCTCCTCAGGGGGCCAACACAGCCTCCCGCACCTGCTGCAATGCCTGAATGCCCAGCCCGGGGTGGGGGCTCTTTTCAGCCCAGAGCTAGGAAATTAAGGAGGAGGCAGGCCCTGGGGAGAGCACAGCTTTCCATCCATGGGTGGGTGGAAGAAAGGGGGACCTGGAACCTCAGCCGCCTCTTCCTCCTAACACTCTAGCTGGCTTTGTTTCTAGTTCCAGTTCCTCTGGTGGTCCATGGGGCAGAGAGAAGGGGTCCTCGGGCCAGTGGCCCTGCACTGCACAGGACCCCTAGACAGACCTTACGGAGGCTGAAGGTGACTCCATGGGGGCAGGGACACAGTGCCAGGGCCTCCCAGTGGCCAGAGGAGGTTGGGGCTGAGTCAGAGGGGTCCTGCAAAGAAACAGGCAGGGCCACATGGACAGGGCCGGCCGCTTTGGTCCTCTTCACCACAGGAGTTTTAGTCTTGTGTCTTAAGCCACCCAAGGGCCTCGTGATCCCATCCCTCTGTGCTGCCCGCACGTAGTGAGTCTGTGAGGGTGGCACCCACTTCAGTCTTCTGCGACTCCCTCAGGCACCTTGTGATCCCCCTTTCCCTGTCTCTGTAGGCCAGGAGTCTCCTGTACCAGTTCCGCCTGCTGCCTCGGATCCCCTGCAGCCTACACGACCTGTGCAAGCTGTGTGGGACGGGCATGTGGGACAGTGGGTACATGCCTGCTGTGGAGTGTGCCGGCCACCACCCAGGCTCGGAGAGTTGTCCCTACGGGGGCACGGTGGAGACATCTTCACCTAAGCCCATGACAGAAGGCAAGAAGGGCCCAAAGGTGCCGCGGGAAGCCTTTGGTTTCCGAAGATAGGGAAACCTCTGTCCTCAACAAGGGATTGAGGGGACCTCATGGAGGTCGTGGGCAGTGGGAGGGGGTGGGGATGGGCATGGAGGAAAAAGGATCGCAAGGAAATGCCTCTGGCCACTGTGAATGGTTCCATGATGACCACATCAGAGTCCAGAAGTGACAGCAGGTACCAGCCACCCTGAGAAGTCAGCTCCTGAAACATTGGCCCAGGATGCCTGGCTGATCCTCAGGATGCACCCAGAGTTTGCTGACCCTCTGGACTGGCCTGGAGATTTCAGCATGGCCCAGGTGACCCTTCTCGTCAGGCAGTGGACAAAGCAGAGTCTGGAAGGGCCTCGTCCATCCACCAGCACCAAAGGACTCAGGGGAGCAGGACGTCCTGTTGAGGCAGAGACATCCCTGCAATCCAGATGCTTCCTAACCAGACCCTGTGCTCTGAGTGAGCCAAGGACGTTTCGGAAGTTTCCCCGGCCACAGCTGCAAAACTGGTGTGGCGACATCTGCAAAAAAAGCAAAAAGGAAAAAAAAAGAGAAAAAAGAAAGACAAGTTGGAGAGCAGGTGTTCAGAGCCGGCGTCCCACACTGTTTGTGTGAGTGTTCTGTGCTCTGCTGTGAGAAGGACGGGCCCACCCCAAGCTAGAGCCATGGGCTGGTGGACAAGTGTCAGATGCAGCCCCACTGGGGTTTCCCCTGAGGACCCAAGATGTGGTCGATGATCTTTCCACCAAAAACAGCGACCCATGGGAGCCTGAATGGGTTGAAGGGTTTGCACAAGGCCCTCTGATGAGCACCTGCTCAGTCCTGGGAAGGGGGGAAGGAGAGTAACTGCTCAGCCAAGACAAAGGCTCCTGAACCAGCTGAGCGGGTACTCCACGCCCCCACCCCCACTCCCCCACCCACAGGACCTGGGTCCCTTCTGTGTTCACCATCCATCAGCGTCTCCACTGGCTGTGCTGCACTGGGGTACTCTGCCTCTTAAGACCCCGCCACGACCCTGTCCTTCAAGGCTAAGGATCAGAGTCAAGGGTGTGTCACAGAGAACTAGCAAAGAACCTTGATCAAGGGTTGAGTTGGTATAGAACAGAAGGCAGTTGGGGGGGTTCTTGGCCTTTCACACCTAGAGGGGCGCTGCAGGACAGCGCCACATTTAAGAAGTGTTTCTCAGGCTGGGCGTGGTGGCGCACACCTTTAATCCCAGCACTTGGGAGGCAGGGGCAAGTGGATCTCTGTGAGTTCAAGGCCAGCCTGGTCTACATAGTGATTTCCAGGACAGCTGGGGCTACGGGGAGACCCTGTCTCAAAAAGACAAAAAAAAAAAAAGGTGTTTCTCAGCAGGAAAGTGCTCCCCTTTCTCCATGAGCCCATCTCCTCTCTGCAGACTTGCTGTCCAGGAGCCTTTGGAGGTCATCCTAGAGTCTCAGTGGTGTCTAAATCTTGGGGTACTGCCTATTACAGTGCAGCAGTGAGGTCCTGGGGGTGAGCTTTTCATCTGCCCTGCTTTCCGTGTGGCTCCTGACCCCCTTGGGAGCTCGAGCCACAAAGAGGCACGTTTGTCCATCACCACAGTAACACTATACAGGTGATAACCCCAGTGGCCTAGACCCAACACACACACCTCTTTGGGTCAGCAGTCCAGGCTGGCCAGTGTTGGTCTTGGATAGGGATGGTTGATTCTGGGGTCACAGATTCTAAAGTCCCAGTGGGATACTTGCTGTGTATTCTGGGAGGCAGCACTGGTCTGTGGTTCTCGGGTCACCCCATAAAGAAAGGTGCGTGTGTAAAGGTAGGAATGGGCAGTGTCTTTCTGAGCCTTGGTGGGCACCACACTTGCGAACCACCTGATGGGTCAAGCATCTGGTGGTACGGAAGTGAACCCCCGTCTCTGGGTCTGCTCTGAATGTGACAAAAGCCTGGGTGAGGACCGGGGCCACTGTCCCAGTCTGCCCACCATCCCCAGGAAGTCTAGGTATAGATAACCCCTTTCCCAGGGAGAAAGACAGCTTCTGTCCCACCCCCTCCCCAGGACCGCATCCCTATGCTGTACCCCAGCTTCTGCATACTCTCCTGTGTTGGATGGGCACATAGGGAGCAGGTCCAGGGACCTAATCACCCTGGAGGGTCTCAAGTAGAAAGCATTTTTTCTGAGTCTCTGGCTCCCACAGTCCCCCAAGTGCTCCCCAACACCTGACCTGGGCTGGCTGCAACCCTATTCAAGGTGTCCCCACACCCCTCACACCCCTCTGGACACTTTCCGTGGACTGCAGAGACCCTGGTGTCACCTGCATCGTCAGGCCAGCTGGAGACTCTGCAGTGTGGGTGTGTGGGCTCTGTAGGAGCCTAGCTTGCCTCTGAGGAGCTGTGAGGCCCCACCCTGCACAGCAACTTAATCTGGATGCAATTAGAGGAAACCAGCCAAAACCCTGCGGCAGCTGTTACCCCAGGATTATTCCCAGCCAGCAAAAGGCATTAGGGTGATAATTCAGTCATTAGACTTCTAGCCTTCCTACCGCCAGGACGTGCAAATCAAGGGTAATCAGCCTGCACGCTGTCCCGGCCAGGAGACTTATTTAACCCATTTTTTAAAATGACACTTAATGTTACTGGCCAGCACGTGTATATGCGCATACTTAAAAGTTGGGGCATCCCGCCCCGCGACGTTGCCTGATGCCATCCAAGGCCTCTGGGAAGAGAGGACATCTTAGATGTGTGTGTCCTGGCATTGACGGGGCAATGTGTGAGGCATGATGCCCACCTAGGAAGGGGCTGCTGCTGGTTCATTCCCCTGGCAGGGGGTATTGGACATTGCTTCTCCAGAAAGTTCCACCTCAAGTCCTGACCAAGAGGCCAGCCCACATCTTCAGAGGAGCAGAGCTGGGTCTGTTAGAGGTCTTGGGCCCTGTGGTCCACAGATAGTACTTCCTGGTTCCTGAATAACCAAGGTCAGGGAGGGGAGGGGGAAGATTTTGACCTTGACTTTTTTTTGAAGCTTTCCTTGAAAGCAGTGTGAAGCCATGGAGGAGGTGAACACTAGCCCAGATGAGGGTCCCCTAGAAGCAGGGTCTTTGATGGCCTTGGCCTCAGAGGGGCGGCGCAGTGGGGAAATCCGGTGAGGCCTGTAATGGTCCTCAGCTCTCCTGCCTGCTTTTGTATATTGGTTTTAGTCCCGTCTGGGTCTTGTTGCTGCTGTGCTGAGGGGTCTACCCAGGACCGTGCCTGTGCTAGGGTGCTGCCCCTGCTGAGCAGTATCCCTAACTCCTGTCTGCTCTTGTTTGGCAGAATCAATTCACAGTGCCCAGAGCCCCCCGGAGCTCCTTCCGTGTCAGCCTCCTCCCCCTCCGAGGAGACTGGGGTGCCAGGGACACCCTAGACTGGCCTAGCAGCAGGAAGGAGCCTGGCAGAGACCCCTGGAAGTTGCCTTGCCTAGGAGGGGAGAGGATGACAGGCCCCCTGGAAGAACTTGCACACACAGGGGGTGTGGCCTGGGTCAGAGGCTGGCTAGGATCAGCCACCCAGCTGAGCCTCAGGGAGGGAACCTGGAGGCTAGCCTAAGGCTAGGTCTGCTAGGTCCCTGAAAAGCCAAACGGCCCCAGGACCTTATGTTTCTAACGAGACCGGAATGTGTTCTGTCTTGATCTAGTAAGAACCACCCCAAATCTAAGACTCCAGATGCCTCCCTGGGGGTGAGTGGGGCATCCCTGTCCCCAGCTGTTCCCTTTGCCAGTACAAGGAAGGCCCTCAGTCAGGCTCCCTCAGAGGACTGCTGCTGTGGGGACTCTCGTGTAAAAGTTGCCACGGAGGTGGCTAACCATGGCCCAGGGACCTCACCTGCCACTCAGGGACGAGCCCACTGGCCTTACCCTTCCACAGCAGTGACTGAGGGGGACCACCCATCCCACCTGAGCACTCTCCCCTGGTTTGGAGTCAGCACATCTGCCTTGCTGTGTGTGTCTGATGCAGAGGGCCAGCCTCTCTGTGCCTCCTATGTAAAGTTGACCCCACGCTGCCCACCTCTGCCTACCCTGAAGAAAAAATGAGCCACAAAGTCTCCTTTGGCAATCGCGGCCTACATGTGTGTGGGTGTGCACACGTGGATGTGCAAAGCTCTCCCATGGACCGCCTTACCTTACCCCTCAGCTGTGGAGGCACCTGCTGCCACCTGGCCTTTAAATACACTTCGTCCAGTTTCCAGGTAGGAAGGTAGAGGTTCCGGTTCAAAGAGATCAAATCACAGTACTGCCTGCCTTCACACTTTCAGCGTAAGGAGGACAGGTTTGTTGTTTTTAAAGGAAAAGTTCATGAAATTTCCACAGACATCACCAATGTCTATGGAAAGTGATTTGTTCTGTGTTTTGTTTTGTTCTTTTTTAAAAAAACAATTCCCCTCACTGGTCAGGGTCAGGACTGGTCTCCATCATGACCGCTGTTAGTCACCACTCATGGATTCCATACAAAATAAATAAATGGTATTGCAAGAAGAACACGTGGTCCAGTGCCTCTGAAGAAGGGCTCGTAGGACTTTCAAGGTCAGACTGAGGCAGGCTCTGAGGCTGGGCAGAAAGGCCTGGGGGAGAGCCAGGAGGGCCTTTGGACATGGCTAGCCTACTTGGCTCTTCAGCTGCCCTGAGATTTACAGGGAAGGGACCTGAGGTGGGGGGACCAGGAGGGCTGACCGGCAGGCCTTGCTCTAGGAAGGCCAGGAGGAAGGATTATACCAGGTCTGGCAGTGCAGAGATGCTGGGAGCACTCAGGAGCACTAAATGGGCCTTAGGATCATTGACTGCGCACACGGACACCGAGCCCAGGCCTCCCAGCGCCCGGAAACCCCAACAGGCTTGGAGAGGCGCCTTAGCCGCCCTGTTCTGATTTCAGGAAAAGCCCAAGTCAGCTTATATGAACTTAAGGAGATGAATGATGCATTTATCTTTGGTGGGTGTGAGCTGGGCATCACAGGGGAGTTTCAGGCATCATTGCTGGGGTCTTACTGTTCAGCTGGCCCTGAGAGTCGCAGGGAACACAATATAGGGATTATAAGAGCCTGGGCTCTTCAGAAACTTCTGGGTAGGGACTCTAGGTTCCCCAAAGCACTATTTGCGACTTTGAGCTGCTCCCACATGGCTTGTGTGCACCCTGGTGTTCCCCTGCTGGGGACTGGGGTGGGGTGGGTAGCCTGATACTTGTAGCGCTGGGTGTCTGCTGTCAAGGGTCTGCTCACCTTGTACCTACCTGTCATTGATTTGGACACCTTTGTGCCCTGTGTGCCCCTGTGAGGCTGGGCATGTGCCAGGTTAGGTGTCCAAAGAGGTAAATGCCTGGGTTCAGCACTGTGCGCAGCTGCTGGTGCCCTGTAAAGATACTTCCATCCGCTTGGAAGTTAGAGGACCACTTCCCCAGCCTGCCTAGAAGCCAAGTCCCACTCTCAACAGAGAGTCCAGGGGGCTGTCTTGGCCAGCAGCCAAGGGAACAAGAGGTGGCCATGTTGCTGCTCACAGCCTTGGTCTGTCTGACACAGCCTGTGGTGACATGGAGCTGAGGAACAGAGCAGCTTGTCCTCAGGGAGGGATGGTGCATCCCCAGTGGACAGTTCCTCAGGCAGCCGAGGCCCGTGACAACTCCAGCCTTGGATCACAGCTTGGGATGGCCTGGACCCATTGAAGTGGGGTGAGCTTAGGGAGTCCCTTAGGGCCTGGGACACTCATCCTGCCCCTTGCAATTTTCAAATGAGTAAAGCCACCCACATCACCATACTTTCCACAAACCTTGAATTCCCTATTTCTTCACGACCTTGGGTCCCTCCCCTGTCCTGGTTCGACCCTGACTCCAAACACTAAGTGAGCAGGAATGTTCTGCACCTGCCTCCCCTCAGCCAGGCTGAATCCAGTCAGCCTCATCACTCCAGTACAGTCTCGTAATGAGGACCCATCCTCCACCACCTGACAGGCCGAGAGGCCAGGGAAGGAGAGTCATGCAAAACACACCTGGGCTCCACTCCTGCCCTCCCCCACCCCACCCCCACTGTCGCTGAATCACCCTTTCTTCAAACCCAAAGAATCTTGTAAGGTCAGGCTCTGGCCTCGCTTTAGCTGGGCTCTGGGGCACAGGCACACTACATGTGTAGCCCACCCTGTCGGGGAGGGGTGTCTCAACACATCCCCACCATAACAAAGAGACCCTAGGTTAGACCCTCGTATTACCTACTATTCAGCCACCCTCCACCCCACCTTGCCGAAGGCCCTGCAGCCACTCACTCCTCTGCAGGCCAGAGAACACCCACCACTGACATCCAGATTGTGACATGCCCACGTTCCAGAAGAGATGGCTGGCTCCCCAACCTCTCCTCCTGTGTCTGCCGCTCTCTGGTCCCAGGAGAGTGATCAGCTCTCTGGGCTCCTGTACAGAAAAGAACATGTGCTTTGAGCATGTGTAAAAGCCACTCCACTCCCAACTAGGAGAGCCAGTCTCAGGCCAAGTGCCGGGGTTCTTCAACCCCAGACAAGAAGGGGGCACCTCACATTAGCGAGGATGGCGGAGTCTCCTGCGTCCATGGTGCTGACAGTAGGCGGCATCAAGGACACAGGGTCCCCAGCTGGGCACAGAGGCTGGCTCCAGCCACCCTATGACACAAAACAGGAGTGTACACTGAGCCCAGATGTATTGGAAAGAAAGTTCACTGGGTTCCTGGCCATGAACAGATATAGTAAAAAAAAAAAAAAAAAAAAAAAATTATTTTGATATATCACAGTGAAAGATTTATCGTCCTCTTTTTTTTTTTTTTTTTTTTTTTTAAAAAAAAAAAAAAAAAAAAAAAAAAAAAAATTGATGCCAAGGCCAGAGTCCTCTTGTCTACAAAGCAAGGGGGAGCGAGCATGTGGGGTGGCAGTGAGCATGGTGATGGGCCAGGCCATCCTGGTGGGATAAGAGCAGGCTTTGGGTGGCTCGACTGAGAGCTGTGGCCAGTGTGTGGACGTAAGAGGCAGTAGACGAGCAGAGGGTGATAGTGACACATGGTAATGGAAAGAACCCCAGAGAGCAAAGGACAGTGTGTGAAAGCAAGGCTGTGGGGAAGTAGCCACCAAGTGTTCATCGCAGAGGGAGCGCCCACTAGTGCTCGCCCTCACCTCTTCCGGAGGGGCGTTCTGGGCATAGGAACTAGTGATTATAAGAGGCACAGGGACAGGGGGAGCCTGAAGGTTTCTGTCCTGTCCCAGAGGCCATCCTGTCCTGAGTACAAGCTCTGGGTGTGGCTCAACCCAGCCCAGGAGAGTTTACTGCTGCTGGGGTCCACAAGGACTTCGTGTAGGCTGCTGGGTGGAGTCATTCTGAATTCTTGTGCTAACTCAAAGAGAGGTCTGCTTCCTTGTGGCCTCAAAGCCACTCTGTGCCACTTTGTACAAGATGCCTGCCAAGTGGGGGGGGAGGGGACTGGGGGAGGAGCATGCAGGACAGGAGCGGGACTGGGGGCTTCCCGAGTTAGGAGTATGGGGGAGGCTCAGCTGAGGGAACACGGGAGGGCGAAGGAGGAGGGCCACTAATCTAATCCTATCAGGTGCACTCTAGGTAAATATTAATAACTCATGACGCAGGGAATTGGGGAAAATCTAATTACAAGAACGCCACAAGCCTGCAGCTCTGCAAGGGAAACCACGCAGTCCCAGAAGCCCTGGGAAGAGGAGGAACAGCCTCATACTATACAACCCCAGTACTGGGAAGCTCTCACAGACCTCCCCAACCAGGGGGAGGCCAGGCTACCGGCTCCAGCCCCCTCTGAGTCTACCTACCCCCACCTCCATCCACCATTCCCAAGCAGCGCCCTAGCAGCCAACTACAGCCAAGGCGCCTTGCCCTGGGCCCAGCATCCCTTCACCCTCAGCCCAATGGACCTTCCCTATCTGTCTCTCCTTATAGAACCTGACATACACAGAAAATAGACTTTCAGACCTCAAAGAATGCTAGGTGTCAGGAACCTCCATCACCCATCCCCAAGAACACAATTGGGAGTTGGGCGTAGAAACCTCTGAGTGACACCGTCAGACATAACCCCTTCCTTCCTCTGCAACAGGCTAGCCCCATGCAACCTGGAGCTTCAGGTGACTGTCTTGAACACAGTCTTCATAGAATCCAAAGTTGGGCCTGTGTCTGACCCCACAGCCTGGAGAGTCACCAGCTCACCCTGTCTCTTGTGGGGGGAAGCACGGGCCTCTTTGAAAAGAAGGCCCATGGTTGCTGGTGGGAATCAGTGGTGCTCTTTGGCCAAGACAGTAGGGTGAAATGGGGCCATTTCACCTGGGACAAGACAAGCCAGCCTCAGACCCTCCCTGGTTACCTGATCTACTCTGGCTCAGACTCTGCCCCACCCTTGGTGGCTGAAGCCCACCCAGAGAGTGCTGGGCCTCTGCAACTGAAGGGCAGCACAGTGGCCTCCTCCTTGTTTGAGTCAACAGGGTGTCTCTACAGATGCTATTTCCCCTAGTCTGCAGGACTATGCCCTCTCTGTGGGGTCAGACACCACCACCAAGTGTCCACTGGGAGGCCCAGGAAAGATTTACTAAGTACTTCAAGGGGCTAGAGGTCCAGCCCCTGTTGACCATCCCTCCCCAGGAGCGAGGGAAAAGTAGCTCATTGAACTGACTGGGTGGCCTTGGGTATCACACTTGCCCTCTCTGGGCCTCAGGTACCACGTTTGTATAAGGAACAGGAGATTTGTGCCTGCTACAGCCTCTTGGGTATTTGTGGGGTAATAAATTAATAAACTGGGGCCCCTCCTGGGGGGACAGCAAATAATGCGTGAAGAAATGTCACCAGCAATGTGGACACATGCTGGGGTACACAGATCATAAAAGAGGCAGAGATGTGTTGATAAGATTAGACCCTCGGGCACAGAAGCGCCTCGAAGACCCCAGAGGGCTGGGGATGTGACTCAGTTCATAGAGTGCTTGCCTAGCATGCATGAAGTCCTGGTTTTGATCCCCAGTGCCACATAAGGTGGGGGGGGTGCCATGAAGGTGGGAGAAGGTGGCACATGCTTGTAATGCCAGCATTCAGGAGATGGAAGCAGATCAGAGGTTCAAGGTCATCCTTAGCTTCGCAGCGAGTATAAGACTAGTCTGTTCTACAAAAGACTCTATCTTTAAAAAAATAAAAGATAGGACCCTACCCCAGGCACAGAGGCTGTTTGCAGGCCACTAAGGGAGATAAAAAGGGACAGGAAAAGCTTCCCACTCAGAACCAGGTCTGAGAACCCTCTGGCCTCCCTGTGTCCTTGGGTTCCAGCCCAGGCAGACACCTCTCTTGTCGAGTCTTAGTTTCCCTGAGCCTTGTATGGCTCCTCTACATGGACAGTCTCTGCCTCTCCATCTTGCTTTCCAAACAGATGAAAAGAGAGGACTGACCCATGGGAACGCTTGGAACACTTGTTCCTGCACCTGGCTCAGGGCCATCTTGAGGCAGCCAGATGACTAGGGTCTGATTCCTTGAAAAGTGC